ATCATATCTGGGGTAGGTGCTCTAGAAAAATGTGCCCCTCAAAGGGTTAATAATAAAGATAAAAATACTAATATAAATATAATTATATTTGTCCCACTATGAACATAAAAAATCTCTATAATTAAGTCCTTTCTGTAAAATCCCGATATAAAAGGAACCCCGCCTAATGCAAAATTTGAAATCATTAATCTTATTATTACGTAAGGTAAACCCTCATTCAAATTTCCTAATAATCGAATATTTTGAGTATTCTTTATTATATGAATAACCCTGCCCGCTCCTATAAATAACATAGATTTAAAAATTGCATGAATTAATAAATGATAAGAGGCTACTAATCTATACCCAAATCTTAAAATTATCATTATTATACCCAACTGTCTTAATGTAGACAAAGCAATAATTTTTTTAAATCATTCTCAAAATTTGCTATAATTCCAGATATAAATATAATTAAAATAGACAAAAATCCTAAAACTATCCTTATATTAGTAGTTACTAAAAACTTATTAAATCGAATTATTAAATACACCCCCGCTGTCACTAAAGTCGAAGAATGTACTAATGCAGAAACAGGGGTAGGGGCAGCTATTGCTAAGGGCAATCATACAGAAAACGGAATTTGAGCACTCTTTGTAATGGCAGCTAATATTAATATAAATATAACCCCTCTCTACCTTTAAATACCCTTAAATCTCACCTGAATATCATTATTATTATTCTTATTGTTATTAATATACCAACATCACCAATTGAATTACACAAAACTGTTACTATTCTTGAATTATAAGAACTATAATTATGATAATATATAACTAAACAATAAGATCCCTAATCCATCCCACCCCACTAAAATCCTAATAATATTAGGCCTAATAATTATCAAAATTATTGATAAAATAAATAATAACAACAAATAATTAAATCGACCTATATTCATTTCATTCTCTATATAAATCATTCTATATAATATTATATATATATATAAATATATACAGAGTATACAGAAAGTTCCGGATCTTTTAAAAATCTTGAAAAGCAGGCATTTCTGTGCAAAATGTTTCATACAAAAGTTGTAAGGTTTTAAAATGATCTATTTACCGATATTATCACAGTTTGACTTCCGATGGCGCTACCAAAGTCAGGTCAAGGTCAAATTGATTTTTTAAATGAAATACTGTATTTTTTATTTTAAAATCTAATAGCTGATGTCAATAGTTTTTCAGACTACTCTAATAAAGCATCTTTTAGTCAGCACTTTCCGAGTTATGAGATTTAAAGATTACGATACCGCTGTCATAAGTATTACTTCAGATGTATCGGTCGGATTTGTAAGTCGTATGTATGTGCTCAAGCTTGCCTGTATGTGTTTCTACCTCCTCTTCTCTCCTTCTCTTTCCCTACATAATTATCTTTGATTGTACAGTATTTATTTAAAATATTAATGCTAACTGATCAGGAGCGTATATATTTTTTAATGATGCCAGGATGAAGTGAGATCTTACGCACAAGTGGCAGAAATTTCCAATCTATTTTTTAGAAAAAAAAAGACAATAGTAAGTATCAAGACAATAGTAAGTATGTCTAAATTTTCAAGCTATTTAAGAGGTTTGGAACTTTTAGTTGATTTTCTAACATATATGTGTATATATATATAAATATATAAATGTAAAAGTCTGTGTATTCTAAAATATATATATATATATTTGAACAAAATATATATCATCGATCATTTGATACCATTTACTAAATTCTTAATTAGTTCTTTCCAACGAAATTATAATGACATTAATATAATTGTTTCAATTATATGGCAATAAAAATGTTTTTGACAAACAAGCCTTACAACTGCAAATGTGATAAGGATTATTATATAGTATAACAAAGTATACAATAACATGATTACTGCATTGGGAAATAAATAAAAAATATATATTATTCACAGTTACACACAACATTAATATTTTTGTCATAAGAAATATAACTATAAATAAAAAATTTTAACATTCAAAGTTCAAAACGTGTATAAAGAAATATTTTACAATGTGTTTCTAAATTAATATCGTCTAACATTCTATTGTCAGAATAAAAATTCATACCTGATAAGACGCAAATGGAACGTTACAATATCGTTTAAAATTTTATTGAAATCTCTGTACGAGACCAAATCAATTAATCGGTATCTAAAGTTTTCTAACTGGCCACAAATGTGAAGAATGACTACAACTAGAAAGATATCTACAGACATGTAAATGATAGCTGCAAACAATGTCGTCAAGATCTGAATAAAAAATGTTAACTCAAATTGCGGACTCTTATATGTATCGTAGAAGTGATACGTCTCCAATGGTAACAGTCTGCGACGATCCGTGTAATTCCTTACGTATAATACGTGAATATCAAATAAAGGAAGAAAATTTGCTGTAAAAAATGATGTTATCACGATGATATATCCGATTGTCATAATTAGTCGCGCTGTTTGTGCTCGTTTTATCATTACATTTCTTTCTCTATCTAACTTAAATGCCATCCAATCTTCTGCCATCATATTCACAATTGACAAGAGAACTTGAAAATATAAATAGCTATAGATAAAATGTAAGCATTATTAAAAACATTAAAATCTAAATTACTTAGACATATATGTTATCATTTGTAAACTGTCGCAACAACAAAAAATAATGCACATTTTATAATTTATTTCCATGTTGCTACATACGTAAATTATACATATATATGCTGTTTTCTTATTATACTCCATAACATATTTGTAATTAAAATTATTTTGTCATAAAATGATTTAATAAAGCAGTGGAATGTAATGCTAAATATTTTATTTTATATAATGCTGTACGTACCTTTTCGTTTCCGTCGAATGATAACATATTTCACTGATACTATTATTTGAGGTAATGTTCCACGTAAATTGTCTATTACAAGTACCATATTACCCCAAACTTGTATGACTGAATATATCATTGGAATATTAGAAATAAATATTAATGAAATAATAACTATGGCAACTCTAATTTCTGTCCACAAATTTTTTTTAGTACATTTGTTGTATTTAGGCCACAAGCCTACCATTTCGAATGCTGAACGATGTAGATTAATTGCCCATATAAAATCTGATAAATTTTTATGACATGAGCAATATGAGCAATTTCGATAATTTAGTCGCAAATATAATATATTTATATTTAACAATAACATTTAAATTATTAAATATTCATACATAAGAAAAGTAAACAATAAATAAAATAATGCAAATATCTCAAGAAGGGATTTATAACGCAAAATTATAGAAATGTACATGTATTGAGCATGGTTAATATACGGAAAAAATGTAATATGAAGTTAGTACCTCTGTATCCTGAAGAATTTGTAATATCCATGCTGGAAATTGAATCTGCAAAACGTCTTGTTCTTTCCACGGTATGATGCGAAATGATCATCATGCATGCTCTCTATATAAATGCAAAAACTCGACAGCATTGTCAAACGTGGTATTAAATATTAAGAATGCTTTTCCTAGTCATAGCAACTCATATCGTAAAAAACATTTTATAAACGTCCAAGTTATAGATTCGTTTATATCTGATCTAATAAAATAAGAGGTAAAAAATTTTGCATTGCATTATTAATTCGTCGATACTCGCTTGAAAAGTTTTTTATGCTTCATATTGCTGCATTATTTGCGAAACGGAAAATAATGCCATTGCAATTTTAATGCAACTTTCTATACCAGCCTCAAAAATTATGGTAAAAAGCAGAGATAAAATTAAATTGCATATTATACTCGTATCCTTTAAATGTCTCTTTCAAAGACATATTAATTGGTGCAATAAACGTGAGTGGATATGATATTATGTCTAGACTATATGTAGATTATAGTTTGTACATTACAATTGTTCGTGCGTTTCTATCCACTATTTACAGTGACGAAATTTCAGTCTCTAAAATACGCAATTTTATAAGGTATGAGGCTTTCAAAGATCTGGTAACATTTTTTCAATAAAATAATAATTGTGTTCTTTAATGTTCTTATTCATTGAAGATAAGAGGGCCGATCAATTGTTTTCTCAAAATTAAAGTAAGTAATGAACTCACATAAATACAATGACATATGTCCATTCATGTTAATTTGATAAAATGTAATTAACGCTAAAAATTAGTAAAACTCTATCACCTTAAATATAATGTAACCAAAAAACGTACGTTAAGAGGAAATTTCGTATTGTACTTTTGTACAATTGATTTCTCGTTTCTCGTTAAACGTGATGCACAAGAAGCTATTGTCTGTTGAACAATTTCTGTGCAATAAAAATATTTGCCATATTACAAAATGTTTAATGTTATAATTTATAATAAACAATAATCAATAGACAAAACATAATTTTATTTTTACTACTGTAACAATTTCTAGATAGAAATTATGTCTACTTGTATGTAACTACAAACATATATATATTTGTGTAACTGTCGATTATTATTAGCCATTTTTTGACAATAAAAATGATATATAGCCCAATGATGATTTTAATATCTGAAATTAATTATTATTTTTACTTACTGAGAGATATTTGAAAAATATTTTCTCATATCGATTCTTATTTAAGGGGGACCGGAGTTAGTATACCAATTTTTCAATTTTGAATTTTTACGGACCAAATCAAAAGACTTACCCAAAAAATAGATTCTAAATCAGTTACTATATTCGGTATATTCGACAAAATTTCGTAACCTATAGTGATTTATCGGAGAATCGAAGTACTATTTAGATTTCAGTGTCTCCTTGACTAAGTCTTTTGACAATATGTTCAGACATATAGAAATTAATATGATCCTACTTGTCTATTATGTTATTACTAATTTTACTATTACTACATTTAATTTATTATTGATATTCTGATAATAATTATAAATTGATTACTGATATGAAAAAAGTCTTTTAATGCATTCCTTACGTGTTAATTGATTTCAGGATAGGAATAATGTGACACGATATGGTTCACTACGGAATTTTTAAAGTATTGTACAAAATTATATATTTCGAGATATATTTTAACATATGTTATTATATGTTAATAAAAAGATTAAGTTTATAAATATGAAATTCTAAATAAAATATACTTATTAAAGTATTAAGATTTGTTACTAAATGAGCCTTATGAGCGCCATTGTAAGGTTAGTTTAGTAGCCTTATCTGCTTTTTTCTTAACATTTACAATATACGATTAAAAGGCAGATAAACAAAAACAATCTATTGGATTTGTTAAATAACAGTTACACTTATTATCCAATCAGATTCAGAAACCAACTACCCGAAATAATGAAGTGTGATTCTAAAACCAAAAGTTCAAAAATAAAAATATTTACTTACATATTACGATTTTTTAAAATATATATATCATATTTTTTTAAGGGGATCCTAAAGTAAAGCCAGAATTTCGACGTAGTCACTAGAGATCGCTGTTTTCGCAGCGTACCGACATATGTTTATATACTACCGCACCAATGACTCCCGCAACAAATGATACACGCAGTCGCATGTTCGTGTCAATTTTTGAATAACAAATTCGTCGCGATAAAGCATTTAAGGTAGTTATACCGCCCCAAATATGTGAGTCAACGACAGACTCACACACGTCTCTAAATTTCTAATATGTCGCTATGTAAAATCTAACAAAATAATAAAACGAAGAATTTTTTATACTAACAATGTTAAATTATAATAGAATAAATTAATTTAAGAAAAAAAAGGAAACCTCCGTATCACGTAAAAATAAGAGGAATTAGATCGTGGCAACGTCGCATTTTTGCGAGCAGACGAATATAGGCACAAGTTATCTGTCAAGATATTTATATGAAAGAAAAAAACGTCCGCACAATTGCATTATAAAAGAAACATGTATTAAAAGTATGTACAGTTTTAACAAAAAAAAAAAATTGAAAGCGGCTCTTGCGAAGAAACAAGAATGCGAAAGACAACCTCTTTGTCGGTTCTTGAAAGTGCGACGTTGCTATATCTAATATACATCCCCAATTCTCGAGAAAATTTATAAAATCAAGATATTTTATTAACTTAAACTTTAATATTATGCGATAAATATAATTTGCGGTGTTGTTATATGAGTTTCATCACGATATTTAACTATATATGTGATTCATTTTTCATTAACTTTTGAAATATGATTTCGAGGTCATATGGAAATCGCGTCGTATCACAGCAGAAATAGCTATACGATAATAGTAGTGTGGAAAAATGTCCACTGAGGAGGCCTGACTCGAAACTTTGTGATCGGCCGCAGCGTTTCGTCCTGGTCCCACACTACTAGACTCATCAGTAAAGTGATGTAGTGTGGGACTTGCCATAGACGCCTGGAATGAATCCAGAATGATGTTCTATTTAAAGGGAATTCGCGCGGCGTGATGCTTACGCGAACCGAGTGAGTCCCGTAGACCTCTAGTGGCGAGTCGCTACAGTAGATATAGGCTGCGATCGATTTGGACGCTTTCAGCACTTTTCAGTAGTTCTTTTCTTATTTTACGTATAATAAACGATAATAACGACAGAATGATGATTACAAGCATTTAAAGCGCGTGAGCGTCCAAATCGATCGTAGCCATAGAAAAAATTACGATGTTTCATATTGGTTATAGTATATCAGAAACGAGACGATAATTCGAGTTCATCTTTTACAGGCATATGCATTAATATTTAAATTACTTGAGACGAAAATTTTAATATATTCTTGAATAATGCATATTTGGGTATAACTACCTTAAGTTTAATTCTAAAAATTCGACATTATTTGTTACGTGCAAACTACGTGTCTGTGGATTACTATTTCGTAAGTACATGTTGTACTTTCGTATCAAGCAAATGTTGTCGCTACTTGACAGTTTGAAACGCCATGTTACAATAACATAAAAAATATATCAATTTCGAAATTCTTGGACGTTCTCAGCATAAACTCTACCTCTTAGATATATATTAATGCGTATACTTTAATACTTGAAAATTCTTTTCAAGTATTATTTCGAATCTGTGAATGAGTAAGTTATTAAATCATGTAATTTTTGTATATAACAAATACTTTTTTTCTCTATCACAGATTCGAAAATCCTTTTCCAGGATTAAAGTATACGCATTCATATACGTGTCTGGGAAGTGACGTCTATGCCGAGAACGATCAAAAAATTCAAAATTAATATGTTTTTTACCATTTCTTAGGGTAACATGGTGTCTCAGCTATCAAGTCGTGACAATATTTGCTTGATATGAAAGCTTTGCAACCTGTACGTACTAAATAGTAGTTTCCAGACACTTAGTTTACACGAACAAACAATCGCGATAAAGCATCCAGTCGAATTCTAAGAATTAGACTGGATGCTTTATCGCGATGAATTTTTTATACGAAAATTGACAGGAATGTGCGACTGTGTGTATCATAGGTGCGTGAGATATTGCTGGGGTAGTATAAAAAGAGATGTCGATGTGCGGTGCGAAGCTCACCCTCTGGTGATTTCGTCGTAGTTCGAGAGCTTTGCTTTAGGATTCCCATAAAGATGAGCGACTGCATTAAGATATTATGGCCTATTGAGCGGAAGTTCTGCTGTACGTGCATATTTACACGTGTCTCCAGTCGTTTTTAACGTAATCAGTCTACCTATCTTTATAGTCTATACTCTATTTAGTCTATTAGCTCCGGTCTCCCCTACATATGCAAAAGTCAAGGTACTGACTGATTAACTTAAATAACTTTCATTTATATTATTATAAAAGTTCTTTTTAATTTTGTTTTATAAATGTGCCGGTGGGAGACCCCAAAACAAATGACGAAAAAATAGCTTATTAGATTACAAAGCTTATTTTGCATAAAAAAAGAAATATAATTGAACGTTCTTAGGCAGTAAGTACAAAAATACCTTTACAAATTCAAGGAATAGAACAGAATTAAGCTTGTATCTAAACCGACATCAATCAGTATTCTGAATTTTGCAACATAGACATATGTATAAAAGATAGTAACGTAATATAATCACTAAAGTAAACATGTATATTCACTAATTACACATTTGCGCATTTCAATTATTAAATGAAATTTATGTTAAAAAATTGTAAGTACACGCACATATGTATATGTGTTTACGTGTGTGTGCCCGCGCGCGCGCAGTGAAAGAAAGAGAGAGGGAGAAATTAAACGTGAAAAAATAGTTCGGATACCATTATATAGCAAAATAGTAAAATTAATATGAGAAGAATTGAGACAATCTTACATTGCAAAAAGTTTCCATTGTTAAAGGAAAAATCTTCCCTGCAGTGATACGAAAAGGATATTTAGCTCGTATCATCAACAAAATAAGACTTCTTGCCTTCCTCGATTCCAGTTTATACCATTCAAGATCGCACATTGCACGATATACTGCATTGCACTTAATGAATACATAGGAAAAAACATATTAATGTTCATGGCACTTCAATAAGGGTTATTTTCAAATATATAGATATTAGTAAGATTTAAATAACTTCTTTTTTGTAAAAGAAATTAGAAGCAGAAATGTAATACGACTCGAATGAATTTGCAAATTCTAGTTAATGTTCACTCATTAACAGTCATTCAGTAAACGGTTGTGCATAAATGTGAAAATAAATTTTTATTATGTAGTATTATAAAGTTTTGCCTTGCAATATGATAATTTTATAATAAATAGTATTATAACAATATAAGTAAAAAAATTTTTTGTTGGTGTACTAACATATAAAAATTATATTTACTTTAAAGTATAAAATAAATTTATAACACTAATGGTATACATTATAAGTGTAACCGTCTTACTTTATGTATTACGAGGATTGTTCAAAAAATAATGCATCATGTTTTTTCTCGTCCAATAATTTCACTTTTCTTTCTTTATTGATGGCCGAAAAGGATGTACGTATGTGTCGCATTACTTTCTGAACAACTGTTGTATATGTATAACCCAACATGCTATAACTTTAACTTACTTGCTGTGTTATAAGTTCTCCTGCTCCACAATATAGAAAGGTATTCATCAATAAGATAATAAGCATTAATAATGAGAAATATCCTTGTACGATAACAGTTTTATCTATTTTTCCGTCAGCTAATATCTAAAACATTTGCACCAATTTTGTATTACTTTTGATACACAATTTTTACAATAAATACGTATGTATAAGGTAACTTTCTTAACTTACAAGTAATTTTATAAAGTAACTTTCTGAATCGTAGTGTTATTTATCTTAAATGTAGTAAATAGTACTTAATACATTAAGGCGATGCTAAAGCCCCCCTGTTTTACCACATTCCTATTCGGTGGGATTTCTCCGTATTGGATGTACGGATTGCAAAAGTATTATTACTTAAATTATAGTACGCACACAGAGGATGTTTGCTACACTGGATTTTATGAGAAAATCGAAAAAAAATTATAAAATTTACTTATTTTTGGCTCGCACAGCTGTCACCTCGGATATA